GGTTGTAGTAAAAATGAAGACGGATGAAAAAGGTGATTTTTAGTTTAAGCACATCCTTTAACTGTGAGCACTGAGGAAATATTAGCCAGTCTGATAATGAGAGGGGTTTAATGGGGCATTAAAGGAGCCGTAAGTGACATTCAGAGCATATCTATGGTTTCTGAATCTGGTCTGAGGTGGTGTCTGCACACAGTTCTCTACATGGAGGTGGCTTAGCCAGTAGATAGCAGCTAACGGCGCTAAATAAACAATTATAAACAGTTCTCAATGAACAGTGCTAACAATGGTAACAATTCTGACAGAGCTAACACCGCCATATTAGGGCAGTGCAGAGCAACGACGATTAGCTATCCAGTGGGACACACACAAGGTTTCACATGCCCTAACATGCATGCACAGCCGAGCAGGCTACAACAACAACCCACTGTGATATAATAGTTCAGGAAGGACCCAGATGCAGAGCAGCAGGCAGGTTGAAGGTTTAACAAAAAAACAAGCTTTAATAAAGCTGATAAAAAACATCCCAAACAGGCAGATAACAGAAAGTCAAAAAGAGAGAGGAACCAAAACTAAACTTCAAACCAACAGGGATAATACGATAAACTCAGGGAAGAAATCCAAACACAAAACAAGATACCAGGCAGGAAACAGCGAAGGGAACGACACCAAGAACACAAGGATGAACTCAGACAAACTGACAAAGAAGAAAGGGAAACACACAGGAATATATACACAGAAAACTAATCACAAGAATGAGACGCAGCTAGAGTAGGGAGACACGAGCAAAAGGAGGGAAATGAGGGAAATGGGGATTGGCTTACAACAAGGGTGTGGAGGGGAACACTAGGGTGGCGCAAAAAAGACTAATACAGAACAGGTGTGAAGGGAAGACTCTTGGAACAGGGACTAACAAGACAGGTGTGATAGAAAACAGGTGGGAAAACACACAAAGACAGGAAGTAAAATAACATGAAACAACGACACAAACAAAAAAACGTAAAACAAAATCCACAAGATAATAGAATATAAACAAAAACCAGGATCATGACACCCACAGAGAAACTCAGATTACAGCACCCACAGAGGAACAGTGGTTTGCTGCCATATTAGCAATATAATTTCCATAATGCCAAAATAGATGCACAGTTGAAGACATTGCTACATACAGATGTTTTATAAAGCTTGTTCTTTCCTTTACCAAATACAAACATTTTTGGACAAAGACAAAAATACCAGCAGTCAGCGAGTCCCACTGTAATTCTGTTGTTCAAAGAATCAGTCAAGTTCACTCTGCATATTTGGAAACTACAAAGTCCACATAGTGTCATCTCAATCTATAAACCTGACACCTTTTGTTTGACTGAATTGTAACAGGAGGCACTTACTGTATCCTCCTTGTGCTCAGGTTGCAGAGTGGGCCATCCAGAAGCTGGGCCTGTCAGAGTATGCAGGCTACAGTGCTGGGACCTACAGTGGAGGAAACAGGAGGAAACTCTCCACAGCCATCGCCATGATAGGCTGCCCTGCGCTGGTGCTGCTGGTGAGGCCAACACTAATGACTGTTATTGGTTTGGATTAGAGATTTATCATGGGGAACACTGTCATATGAGCATGGTTAGGTGATAGACAAGATGTTTCTGTGTGTATATTAATGTGTTTGTTGTAATTAATGCACATTAGGATGAGCCCACTACAGGTATGGACCCGCTCTCCAGACGCTTCCTGTGGAACTCCATCATGAGTGTTATACAGGACAGACGAGCTGTGGTCCTCACCTCACACAGGTAAACTCTCTGGTGTAGGTGTTTAACTGTGTGTTCACTATATTTATGAGCACAGATTTTGTATTTTAATATCCCCATCTGTCTTTACAGCATGGAGGAATGTGAGGCGCTGTGTACCCGCTTAGCAATTATGGTTAATGGATCCTTTAAGTGTTTAGGAACCATTCAGCACCTCAAATACAAGTGAGCCATTTTACTTCATCCCATATGTCAAAAAATCAGTCAACCATGATTACAAAATCTAATTAGCATTCTACAAAATTGAGCTTTGACTTTGTTTCACCTTACATCAATGTGAATAGATTTGGTGATGGCTACGTGGTGACCATGAAGATCAGGGCAGCTAAGCCCGGCTGTGCCCCTGACCTGAACCCTGCTGAAGCATTCATGGAGAGCACCTTCCCTGGCTGCATCCAGAGAGAGAAACACTACAACACTCTACAGTATAAGATCTCCTCCTCCTCCTTGGCTAGGATCTTTCAAATGGTCCTGGCGAACAAAGACAAGCTCAACATAGAGGACTACTCAGTGTCACAGACCACTCTCGACCAGGTAAATGAGCACAGGAAATGATAATGAGTGATTAAATGTGAATTTGATAGGGGTGTACATTTTCTCAACTCATGTTTTTTGTAGGAGAATCAGATGGAACAGTTGGAAACCAGTCGAATTATTCAAACTGTGAATAATTCACTCACTTTTTTATTTTTAGCCGTGCTAGCAGTGTGGCTGTACAGATGGCAGTGTTGGTCTGCTGGTCCATCACTTTGGTCCAGACTGAAATATCTATACTGGATGGATTGCAGTAAAATTTAGTAGAAACATTCATGTCCCCAACAGAATTAACTGTGATCTCTTTGGTGATCCCACCACTTTTTATCCAGCTCCATCATCAGATGAAGTTTTTATAAAGTCCAATACTTGGGTTTGTGGCCAAAACTGATGACATTTCCATCAGCCTCAGCTGTACCTTGTGTTTGGTGCTAATTAGCAGATGTTAGCATGCTAATGTTGCTGGCCTCAGGCCTAGGGGAACCTGGGCCAGTGGCAAAGACGATGCCTGTATGTATAAACAAAGAGGCAGAAAACTTAAGCTTGTGTTCAGCTCGACTGCAGGATTTTTTCTGCTTCCTTAACATGGGAGATACTTAACAAATGACTTCCTGGGGTGATCAACAAAATACTCATAGTAGCGTCAGGTAAGATACAGTATCTTCAAGTAACGGTAGTGTGCAAATACACTGACAAATGAAGCTCTGCGAAATAAACAATATGAATTAAAGGGAAATTTCAGTTTATTTCAACCTGTCTCCTACCGTCCTAAATTTGTTTCAAGTGACTAGTGACATAAAAATAATAGTTAGCATGTTAGCCGTTAGCCTAGATACAGCTGGGGCGCACAGTAGTGTCAGACCTGTTAAAACGTAAGTGAAAGGGCAACCTTCAAGTGCAAAGTTAGTCCACTAAACAAGCATTTTTCCACAAAGACCGCCTCATATCTTTAGGATGAATGTCAGAGAACATATAGAAAACGACATGTAAACGTGTTGTCTTACCTTACCGGTGTGGTGCCATGTTTGTTTACCATTTAGCTCTGCTTTCCAAAGCGCGGCCGAACAACATTGCAACTTGAATGCTAGTTATGTGTTTGTGAGCATGACAACATGCTGATGTTAGCAGTTAGCTGAAACACAGCTTGGCCTAAATACAGTCTCACAGAGCCACTAGCATTATATTTCTAATCAAATCGCAGAGTAAATGTTGGCATTGTACGTTTCTGCAAACCACAAATGTGTAAAATTTGTACATTGTATTATGTATATTTTGAAGATTTACATTTCAGCAGCACTGTCATTAACATGTGGTTATTTTTAGGCACAAAAACAACTTGGTTATGTTTAGAAAAATATATTTTGATCTACAAATCCCAGATTTGGTGGTGCAGTCACTGCTGGAAATGCCTCAATGTCTCACTAAACACCATCCAATTTTGTTGATTGTTGGTTTTGAACGGTGGTCTGCAGCTTGGCAGCCATCTTGCCTAGGTTTCACGCCATCCACTATCCCCTCCACCTCCAGATGACAAAGTCAGCTTAAAAACATGTAATCAGAACCACCACACTTTAGAAACGTTGTAACACATCCATTGTTTGCAGAAATGTACAACACCAACATTTTCTTCTGGTGACTGCGCTGATATTTCACATCCTTGCTTTTTGTTTGTCATCTCTCTTGATAGATACTGAGATTTTGTCATTATATTTAAAATGTCCAACTGATATTTCAAACAAATCTTCCTACATTCTCTCATGTCCTCTGCCTTGCATCGAGCATCATCATGGCTCAGAGGACAATAGGTTTATGTTTCTAATGTTTCTATGTATTTCTGTTCCCTCTAGGTTTTTGTGAATTTCGCCAAACAACAATCGAGAGAGGATGACGCCATCGTGCTGCATCCAAAAGCTGCTGGGGCGCAGCGATATGTTGAAACCACACCCTTCAAGTCGTTGAAGAAGTGAAGTTACCTCAATGAGCTCAACTGGGAGACAAGCTTTGGTTTGTGTTTAAGGGGCCACAGTGTCCAAAGGGTGAGTGTGTACTTTGGAGGACTGAAAGTTGGTCAGCTTGGACCTCCTCTTCAAATTAGGATTCTCTACAGTGTCATCGTGAAGTCCTGTCTTTAGTCTAGCGGAGACAGGCGACTGGTGCTGGTGCAACTGTTTTGGGATACTGTAAACACAGACACGAACAGGATGTGTCCTCCAAATTTGAGTCCCTCATCAGCATTTGGAGCAGCCTTTGGAATGGGGCCATTCTTGTTGATCCATTGAGTGGTGTTAGGCCCTGAGATGCAGTCTGTAAATGGTACAAGACATATGTCATGTTTGACTGATGATTTGACATGTGGCAATACTTTGCTTTTCCAGTAAACGGGGTTAGTGGGCTTTGGACTTGGAAAGTGTGGAGCATTTCTGTGCCTGCTTTTTGTTCCACGATTTGCTCACCTTGTAGGCCTTGCAAACTAAATGAAACAAAGCTTGAGATTTATGACAAGGACCATGGCTGTGATTGATGACATGTCAAAAAGGTTCAATATCATGCTGTAATGGGAGTGTGAAGAAAGCATAGGTCCTGTGTATTTTTTGCTTCAGATGCCAAGCAAGATCGTCTTTTATTGCCTTCGTTAGATATGTGAAATAAGCACTCAGAGAAGCATAGCCTTAGCACTTTATTGATGCAGCTTTAATTGAAGCATCACAATTCTTACCAAGATTTTTGGTTAAAAAAAACCTGCTAGTGCAATACAGCTAATGATTTTTACAAAATCTTCTTGCTGCTATGGAATTCATTTCAGTATTGTGATATTTTTATGCCACCAATGTCTTCAGTTTTGGCGCTTTGTCATGATTATGTGCAACTTTGGTAATTTGTCTGCATTCAACCAGCACCTGGTGTCATCAGAGGAAGTCAGTGTCACAAAAAAGACTTTTCTGAGAGGGTCATCACATCCAATAAAGTTACAATTTTTCCTTAAGATGTGGACCTTTTTATTTCTGGACATCCTGCTTGATTTGTTTTATAATCAAATACCTTGAGAATACTCACATTCACATTTATGGAAAACAGTTATTAACAGTTTAGTAAAACCTGAGATTAGAGCGTAATGACTGGAGAAGAACAGCAGTTATCACAGACCACCTTATGAGCCTTCCACACATTAATGCCAGAAGTTCCACACCTACAGTACAGTTTCATTTCTCTGAAGAAAACAATCTGAGATATACGGCGGAGAAGCTTAGTATTAGCATAATTAAATGTCTGCTTTATCAGCATTCCTCATGAGAGCTTAAAAATTATGTTGCACTCTCAAATGGATGCCGTGACATTTTAAATTCCAGTCTGCTAGTTTGCTTCCATGGGCACTTTATTATGACCTAGAGTGTTTTATTTCTTTCACTTAACCTGAAAACTTTATAAGTGCTGTAAGCGTTCATCACTGAGAAGGAGTGACACAACCTGTGGGCTATAGAAGCCAGCTTGCGATGAGAACTGCTCGCTGATTTGAATAAGGGTTGCTAAAATGCTGACGTGCCGTTTCCGACCTTCAGTCAAGTCCTGAATATCAAAAACATCCTATGACTGTGTGTAGAGAATATGACAGCAGATTGAAGATGTACCTAATCTCTGTACAAAGTTGATATCATAACGCCACATCAGACTCCTAAGAAACTAAAACCAATTGTTGAAACTCAACAATTAAAATGTTCCCAGCCATTTATAATGCTCTAGTTTATTGCCGTAATATTATTGCTCCCATTCCCACTCCTTTCAGTTCATTGATATAAAAAACAAACGCTTGCATAGTGCTGGCCTCAGCCACAGTGAAAAACACCTGCAGGGAGTGAATGTACACGTCTTATATGCTACATTAATTCATGTTGTGATCACTATCAGAGAATCAGAGGGATAATGGCCATCCTGAGGCTGGGGTAGTCCTTGAACTCCCTGCTGTAGGCTCTGTGCTTCCCTTTGGCCCAGATGGTCATCTGAATGAACCCCAATAATGCGTACAATGCCACTGGAATACAAAACATACAAGGATTAGAACACCCACAGTTTGGCTAACATCAACAAAACGTCATTTACTGCAGCGGTTCCCAACTGGTCCGACCATGGGGTCCAGATTTCTCCTTAGTCATCAGTTCAAGGTCCACACAGTTTAACAAATTCAGCTACATACTTGCATTTGGACATGTCATCAAGCTAGTTTGCTGTTTGTCAAGTACCTGTCCATTAGTCACTCACTCTACAGCAGGAAACAGTACTTCAAAATAAAAGCTCTGTGCTGGAACTTCACTGTGCTTAAAAATGAATTGTGTTTTTTACAAACTTGACACGTTTGTCACTTGTGGTCCATTCAGAATGGACTCGCGACTGGCTTTTGGACTGCGACCCACCAGTTGGGAACCACTGATTTACTGTAAATACCTGGCAGACACTGGGTCATGATGGAGAAGCTCACCCAAGCTCCAACCTACAGGATGTGTCAGACATGCAGGCAGAGGTAAATACACAAGCATGGGTGATATTCATTGCTATGATGAATTGTTTTTATTACCTCATATGTGTAGTTTGGACAGGATACAAAGAAAAATAGCCATGTGAATGGTTTCTTTGTTGGCATAGGAAACCTTCTGGCCTTGGGTCCTGAGAAACAGTTTTGTGGAGATCAAAAAAGGAGTTCAGTAACATTTAAATGTAATTTATGTAGAAGTATTCTTAAATACAATAATAGACTGTGACAACCATATCAGATTCCCTTCAGAGCTTGATGTATTCCTCCATTAAGTACAGTGGAAGTAACAGAATAAAGCTCAACTCACCCTCTCCTCTGAGATTATTAAGAGTCAGATGAATGGAGAAGTTGCCAAGTTCACACATCTGGAGCAGAAATTAGCATTTCACACCTTATTGTTATACATGCATGTACACTACTTTATGCTGGCCCCGAGTGAACACCAGTATACTTACCACAAATATCACTAATGCATAGTTAACTTGTAGTTCTCCATATGCTGTGAAGAGAGATAGGCTGGTGTTGATAAGCTGCAGAAACATGGAGGTAAACAACATTGTGTGCGTGAGTGTCTGTACTTGCACTTGCTACGTTGTGAGGACCGAAATACATTTTTAACCAACAGATCGAGGACATTTTAAACAAACTGCAGATGATCCAAGATACAGCAGCACATTTACTCACTAAGACTAAACATCGAGAACACATGACTCCGGTTTTGAAGACTCTTCACTGGCTTTCTGTTCATTTTAGAATTCATTTTATTTAATCTCTTAATGGGCGGGCTCCTGACTATTTATCTGATATGTTGGTTAGATACGTTCCCTCTAGATCCCTAAGATCCTCGACCTCTGGTCTACTAAATGTCCCTCAGAGTAGAACTTAAAAGTACGATGATGCTGCGTTCAGGGTCACTGGCCCTCGTCTCTGGAAAAGCCTACCAGAGGACATCAGACTCTCTGATTCAGTAGTCAGCTTCAAATTAAACTTGCACTTTTGCTCTTGCATTTTTGTAGCTTTTATTTGATTAATTGGCATCAAACCTAATTCAGGTTGTTATTTTGGCCACTCCTTACACTTTTTTTAAAGTTTTTTTTTTTTTTTTTAAGGGGTTGAAACTTGGTTTTCAGACTTTGGTTAGGGTAATGTTTAGAGTTAGGCATTTAGTTGAGATGGCTAAGGTTAGGGTAAGGGGCTGGGATATGCACTGTCTATGCAAGGGACCTCACAAAGATAGAAGAACTTGTGTGTGTGTGTGTGTGTGTGTGTGTGTGTGTGTATGGGCAGACTTACATGGAGGTGTATAAAGAGGGTGGTTGATGTAGTAAGCCAACCAAGCTGAGAAACCCCAGTAATAGGCACAATTCTGAAAGGGGAAACAATAATACGAAAGTATGACCATGTGAAAGTGAGAAACAAATGTATATCACTGGGTAAATTTTGAATTAAAATGAAAATGTAGTTACTTTGATTCAATTTCTATATTTTTAACCACTGAAACACAAAAAAGAAGGCCTATAATAACATCCTCTCCTCATCAAGACACTGTGCTCTGAGACTGTTGTAAGATTGTGTATCAGAACGTGTCCTCAGGCTAATATAGGTACCACAACAGCTGGTATGGGACGGGGAAAAGAGGCCACACATTGTGAAAGAGGTGAGCATATTAACAGAGGCTCGTCTTTTCAAGGGTAGTCATGTCCTCACCCTGACTATTGTCCTGAGAGGCATGGTCCCATGGGAGAAACGATGCACAAAGATAGTCTCTATCAACCTCTTCATGTAGTGGAAGGTGTGACAGGCACAGGCTAGTCTGAGAGACAGAGAGGTGAGGATGAGGTCAAAGGTACAAGTGTGTACATTTAACAGAGGTGCTTATGTTCTTGTCGTAGCATGCAGCTTCATCGCACTATTTCTGCAGCAGCAAAAGTGATGAGACAAGATTAAATTTAAATGATTCCTGAGAGTCAAATTGGGACACTGCAGCATCAGAACATTTGGGACTCAGCAAAGAAAGTGCATCATACTGTAAATAATAAATCACACTAGAATAATATAAACATATGCAACAAGATGCAACACTGCAGTATCAAGACAGAGTGTTGAAGCAACTGAGGGTTTGACAAATTCCTTGAGGTACTACAAATAAATGACAAACCCAACTCAATGACGAACATAAATAAAAGAGACTGTTCAAACCGTCCTGTCACATCAACATTAAATATAGATTTTTTTTTAGTGTAGATGAATGACTTGTACTCCATATTAGATGTAGTTTTACATGTAGTGAGGCATAAAATGGCAGTGAAAAAGTACATTGCAGATTTAGATGCGAATTATTGAAGTACAGATCCACTTTTTGGGAAATAGGCTTACTCCCTTTATAAGAATCAGATGAGATTAATACCACTAATATGTATGACCGTGATATCAATTTAAGTCTTGAAACAAAACCAAAAAACATGGAACTATTCCTTTACACTTGGTTATTCTACGAGATGATAAATCAGTAAACTTGCCTCATGTCTGCAGGTTAAAACTCACAGCCTGGGACAAACTGTGAATTTTATTGCTGAATTTTCTTTTTTCTACTTACGTGACAACAGGATGAGGACTGGAGGTGAAGGCATATCTATTAGAATAAATGTACGGTACTCGACAATAGAAGAGGAGGTAGGTGAGAAGGGGCCCGATGCACTCTGCCAGAAACACCTGGAAACAAAAGAGAAGCTAACACCTTATACTTTGTCTGTACTGTGGAGCCTGGGAGCTGTAAGAGGGGAAAGAAAAAAAACTCAATTTAATAATTTGTGCTCTTGAATAAGAAATTTGCGCACATCATTTCTTATTTTTTTTGTCTTCCGTCTTCACACTCAGGTGGGCACCAAAACAACCAGACCGAGACCACCTTCTTGAGAGGTGGTCTCGGCCTGGTTACAAACGAACTCTGGTGTGGTTGGTTTGTGGTGAGAACGTGTTCTGGATCTGAACATCTGGATCTGAACCAACTGCAGTCACATGACACATTGTTTGGGTTAAACATGAGCATGTTACAGTCCTGGAGGATTATTAATGTGCACCTCCTCCTGTACTGCCTTAATATGCACATTCAGCACATCCAATGCATCAAAACATTGTTTTCTAGTTGGAGCCGCGCCTCGTTTTCAAACTGTATGGTTTGACTAAAATGAACAATGACAGCAATATAGTCCACGATGAGCAGCGCTAACATCAACCTGTGTAGCTGTCCCTCCATTGTGACATTAGAAAGTGTCACATTTATCTTGCAAGTGTACTCTTCTTCAACGTTTGCTTTACTTCCTGGATTTTTCCCACATGGAAATTCTGACCAATCAAGAGCAGCTTTCTCACACAAGGCATTTGATCTGGTCGTCTTGTAAATGCTGCCGTGAGAACATGAACCAACTCTAGGCCCAAAATTAGTCCCTGATTCAGACCAAAGCAAGACAACTCTAGGTCTGAAGCACCCTAAAGTACAAGTACCTTAAAACAAGTACAGTATGTGAGTAAATGTACTTGGTTACTTTTCACCACTGACAGTAAGTATATGAAATTACAGTACTGGCACATTGGTAATCTTTGCGTGTGCTCTTCTTACCATAGTCCAACTTAACTGTGGACCAAGATCTCTGAAGTACATGGTGGCAGTGGTCCCAACAGGTAGACTCTGTAAGATTTCATCATCTCTGAGTGTTTTTTCCTCTGAAAAAGATGAAAAAAAAGCTTGTGAAATTATTCTATGTACAAAATTCAGCTTAATATGGAAGCCCTAATAGTCAAGTTGAAAAAAAAAACTATATGTAGGACTTGAACTTAGATTTTGGCCAAAATTGCCCACAGAAAAATGTTTCACTTTGCTTTTCAGAGCTTCCGTAGCTTCACCTGAACTTCTGCTGTAAGAAATCTACTATCCTGTGCAAAACATTGTTTCTGGTTTATCAAGCTTCGTAGAACTGAGTAATGACAAGACAGTCTTTGCATTAACAGTCATACTAAAATTCATTATGACTATGTAAATTTACGCAGTCATGTGTGGAGCATTGTGGCTTAAACTGAGGTTTCAGAGGTTTTTTTTAATGAGTCTGATCAGTTTTTCAGCACACGTTCTCTCTACCTGGAAGCTCAGGGGGGGCACAGCCACAGATATGTTGCGCTAATTGGATGACATTTTTAGAATATCATCAGGGGGAACTGGCCCAGATAGCTTTTTACCAAAGTCTCTTTTCTGTGCTTTTTAGTAACAAGATAACCCGCATAGTCGATTCAAAGCCCTGCAACGTACCTCCTGGTAGGTCTTTCTTTATGTGCCGTCTATTTGACTGTTTTAATTTAGGATTGAATAAATGGAACAAGGGTGAACATCAAGCAGTCTACCTTTTATAGTGAAAAGAAAGGAAGAGCAGACAGTGGTTTCCAAGGTGATGGTGGCTCTGTAAAGACGTGGGGTGCTTTTTAAGTGAAGGTCATTGCAAATGTTATTAAGCATTCTGGTGTAATGGCAGTAACATAATTTCTAAATCTCCCATTCAGTTCACGTGTTGATCACATCCAGGTTTTTCCAGCATGTCTTTAATCTTAGGCTTGTGCAAACATTTGGCCTGAGATCACATAGGATACAATTCAATTGCAACTGTGTGATTGTCTCCAGTTATATTGATAGCATTGCTGGACATGCAGGTCTCTTTGGGAGGCTCCACTGGTGTACTAAGCGTAACATGTGTCACACCATGAATTGCGTTAATGTCAGGTAAGGAAACAGCAGTACCTGGTGGGACACTTTTCTCACAAAATAATGTTTAATTACTGCACATGCTTTACAGAGTGGGCTCTTTATAAACAACAAACACTATGGCTAACTGCCCCTCGTTAGTTACCTATCAAAGGATAATATGCCACAATGGCTTCAGAGCCAAAGGATAAACACTGTAGACAATAAGCGAGATCTCAGAAGTAGCATCCTATTTCCACACCATAGATTATCCTCTTCTGATGAAATAAGTAAAAGCCTACAAACACACACAAACTGTCCTCTAGAGCCCTGTTTCCACCGAACACTTTCAGCATGGTACCTTTGGAACCAAAAGTAACCCTTCAGAAGGCCCGTTTCCACTGAAGAAGTTCCTGGTACTATTTGGGGGGCAGGAACTACTACAGGAACGTCCTCTCGCTCGGCCCTCTCAACGGCCGTGTCTCCACTGAGATAGTGGAGTAGGAGGAAGGTTCCTGTAAAGTTACGGGCTCTGGATGTGACGTAATCGTTGCGCGACCATTTACCGGGGCGACGTAGGGACGCCGGTAGCTGTTAGCCCTTAGCGGTGTCTGTAATAACTCACTAAATGGCCCGTGAAAAAAATATTTTTTCCAGCGGATGTCTTAGTTACAACATGATTGAGCTAACTGGAGCAGTTTCATGTCGTATCCGACAACGGGAGGCTTTTAACAGATGACTAGACATCGTGATTTCCCAAAACTGAATACATACAACACATATCAACACAAAACTGCTTTGCTAGCTCAATCATGTTGTAACTAAGATATCCCCTGGAAAAAATATTTTTTTCACGGGCCATTTAGTGAGTTTTTTTACATGGCGGCGGAAGCTATATGAACGAGCTAATCCTCGTCTGCTGAGTTTTAAAAATGCCAGCTATTTTGTTGCTTTCTGTTGACATCACATCCCTCCTTGAGTATATCCAATCAGCACCAAGTAAATCCCCAAGCCCCAGCCAGGAGTTTTTTGGGGCCGTTCTGAGTACCTACCCCGAGGCAGGGACTTGTTTAGCCCCCGTAAAAGTTCCGGAACTCTGTCCTTCGGGGGTGGTTCCTGCGGTGGAGACATGCACCAACGGCCCCGGCCCCGTAAAATTACCCCGACTAGACATGGTACCTAGACCCTAGGGTTTCCACCACAGACAGTACTCTTAAATGTGAGCAGTTTTGTTGTCACTCACTCACACAGATGGAAGTCTGCACCTGGTTTATCGTCCACAGAACGAGGCTGCACACCGACATTTTCAGAACAAAATAAAACAGGCTGCAGTGAGAGTCTCAAGCGCGTTTGTGCATTTAGTCCTTCTAAAGCAAGCTCAGGGGTTTAGTGATGCCGTAGCCCACAGGAACACTTGAACATCCACTCATTACTGAAAGTGTACTTCATATAAAAACTAAAGTGATGGTCAAAGCTGTTAAAGTGAAATTTAAGGTGTGCTGATGGATTCACTTCGTCAACTCATGCATTGAGTAACATTACATGTTAAAGTTCCACCTTAAAAGTTGCCGGTAGTCTGCCCAGTGGAAGAAGTTATTTTTTTCTCAGACTCTAGCTGCTGTGAGAGGCAGCAAAACATCGTTTCATTTTATAGTTACAGTTTACTAATAAAACTCTCCACAGTATGAACAGTGGTTACATGAGCCTCAAAACCAGACACAACTCAGCCCTGAGCAGAGTGACCGTCCTCTACTGACCAATCAGACTGCAGTGTTCACAGCTCCACCTTTTAGTACCAGATCTGTGTGCTAGGTACCCCAACAGAGGGGGGACCAAACATGGGGACGGTACAGAACGGTTCCATTGGTACCATCCACAACTTTTCACAGTGGAAACAGAAAACGTGTGCACCAAACTGAACTGACACGGGGCTTAAATAGTGTCAAGCGGGCACTCAATCCATGTCCGAACACCTCACTTGTTTTTATTTTGTATAAAGCATCAGACACTGGATGACTGGATAGTAAAGAATTTGATTACTGACACTGACATACAGTATTTGTGGGTGGTAACGTTCAATTTTAAACATTAAATAGCTGCCACCCACTGCGATTTGAAGCCACGTCGCCTGTTGCAGCTTTCATGTTGTTCATGAGACACTAATACATACAGATACAGTAAATGATCACAATACGGCTACTTACTGGGATCAAGCCTCAGGGCCTGTCTTGCTGGATACCAGTGAGGGTCTGTGCAGATCAAACACACATACACACACACCAGCACACACACACACACACATACAGGGTTGGACAGAGCTGGCGTAGCACACGCAGACTTTGGCCTCAGGCCCAATAATAATTGATCACAATGGAATAACGTTGAGGTCTGCTGCTCTGATGGATCCTGATGGCCTCGGGCTTGGCAAACATTTGGTAACATTTCTGACCAGACGCACACTGATGACAGAACCACGACGGGCTTCAGAGAAGTAAACAAGAGCTTGTTTTTAACAGGATATCTCTCTGATGAAGTGGTGCAATATGATATACTGTAGCAAGAATTTAAGTTGTAGTTTACAGTAAATGTGCAATAAAAGATACAAAAAATAGTAAAAAGCCAGTTTAAATTGATATTTTGGATAATGAACTTAATTAACAAATCATGCAGGTTTTATACTAACGCACCAGAGTACTATAAAACATGTTTGTTTTACTTTCAGAGAGCGAGATAAAACATGAGGGCCAACAAAAACTGCCCAGTACAGTGTATAATAGAACCAGCAAACACTCATCAAACTCATCAGTTTAAAAACTGCATTGAAGCACTCACGTGATTTGTGAAAGAGGCTCTTGATGTCTCCTATTGTTGAGTAGGGCTCCACCTGAATGGAGCACAAACAATGGGTGTGTGACCTTGATGCCTTATCAGTGAAGACGTCAACAGTGTTTATTTTGTTAAAACCCCTTAAATTCAAAGTCATTACAAACTCTTGCTGTGCAGCCACAAATTGTTCCAACTCAGAGAGCTTTATTTCAAATTGTAGTGGAAACCACAATCATTCCAACAATCCCACATTTATAGGGCTGAATTTTGCAGGAATGTGTCTCAGACAATGCAGCATAATGTCCGTTTGATGGTGCAGCCGAGAAAACATGGAATCTGGGGTTTGAATATTTCACTCAGTGTAAACATGATATAGTTTTGATAATGAGTTGGAAACAGGCTGATACAGATTATACTTGGGAGTGGCCTGGGTTGATACCGATGATTGTGATTTTTTTGGGGTAATGGGTAATGGGTAATGCTACAGCTACCTGGGCACCAAGGAGGTATGGGCCCCTTATCTTGCGCCCACTTGAGTAAAACCACCCATGTGGGCAACTGGCATGGCGCCATTATGGAACCCTTGTACATCGTCTGTTTCCCAGTAAACTCACCAGCTTTCTGTCCCTGACCGCGAGTTCTGCCTCAGAGGCTCTGGTTTCCGTCTGCCTGTGGCTGTGTGGTGTTTTTCTGCCATGGCGTTTCAGTGTCATTACCAGCTGGTAATCTCGTCCTCTGTTCAGAGGATAAAGAGCTACTGGACCTCATTATTTTTCCAATTTGCGGTCTTTTTTGGCTGCTGTTCTTCATCTTGGAGTTAGCTGTTAACCGCTAACAGCAACTTTTTAAATCACCCATGGTAGGTTGCATGCCAAACGCATCAAAATGTCACATCAATGCCACTCCTGATCCTGTCCTGCCAGCTGTCCTGTTTATACAGACATCATTTTGGCACTGTTACTACCTCTGATGCCAGCTCAAAGGTGAGACAACGTTGTCCCCCATTATGCAATTGTATCTTTCATACAGAACTTCTGGTTCTCTTGTCTAAAAGTCAATACGTTTTTTGAATGGGATTTTGGTAAAATGCCTCAAATAAGGTCTGTGGTTAACAAAAGCTTAAGCGAGTTTCAGGTTTTGTTCTACAACATAAAACACGTCAGTAAATACCCTACTTGTGAATTTTGAAGTTTTTACGTGTCGTAAAAAAGGCGGTTGCTAACAAGTTGCTCAATACGACTACAAACTCTGTCGGGGACATTAAACGTCATCACCCCCGAACAGGCGAGAGTGCTGGCAGTCCGCCATTACAGCTTCTTATTTAGCTTAAACAGTCCGATTTGCCCATTATACAATGTTTTTAAAATAAAGCGGCCGAAATCAGTTGAAAGCTTAGTGGCGGTGACGTCAAGAGTCATGCGACCGTGGAGTAGTCATGTAGTCCGTTAAAGCCTAACGTTAGCTTTTTACTTCTGGCGATTGTATTTAAGCTTCAAATGCGGTATGAAAGGTGTTCATATGTGAAGATTATCTCTCTGAACAAAACCTGTAAGTATCATAAACTTGTGTTAGCTACGGAGCTTATTTTCTGACATAATCCAAAACGCAATGCAAAAATCACATTCACTTTCTCTTCCGGGAACCAGCGCGATGCTAAACTTCCGGGTTTTGACGTCAGCCCTGGCACACTCTATTACAAAACATGTACGTGCACCCTCATACTTCATGCCACTCCTGCATAAGTCAGTGTCCCCCTTTTGGCCATCCCTGTCAAAAAAAAAAAGTCTGGACACGCCCCTGCTGAGGGAAACAAAAGGGTAAAAGTGTAGTCATGGCAATATGTGAGCATACCTTATCTAAAAAACAAAGCTGCTCTTTGGTCTTGGCATCCAGGACCCTCACCTGAAGAAAACACAGAATCTCAAAACATCAAGGTAGTACACAAACATTTGAGAGATTTACATTCATGCCTCATATGTATTCACCAAAATTCAGAAAGTGGTAAATTTGCTGATGGTCTGTGGATTCATGCAGTGCCACCATATAGGGGAGAAAAGTTAGGACGATTCCAAGGGCCCCTGACTGACAGGGGCCCCAAAAATAGGTAAAAATGAATATTCATTCATCATCATTAAGAATATTTTTTCAAATATAGTAATACAATTAATGATCTCTTTGTTTATACTTGTGTTTGGCAGTAAAAGTTTAATATCCCCATTGACCAAAAAATAAACATACATATTGACTGACCACCCCCCTGTATCTGCATGAAATGGTTTGGTCCTGCCTTAGGGCACTGACTGTGATGTGTGTAGTAGCAGTCAGCAGTCACCATCATGCAACCTAGGCTAGTACTAAAATAAAATCCTGTTTTCATAAAAGTAAAGAGAGAAAGGAGAGAGAGGAGAGGCAAAAGAAAGGGTGTCAATATGTTACCCAGTTTTCTCCAAGAAAGGTGGGTAGCCTATAGTCTGCGAGTGGTAGACATGAACCTGTTAGCTTAATGTCCATAGTGAAATAAACTAGCTACAGACTAGTGTTAGCCTACATTTCACTCATTTTTAACCCACATTTAATCAGTGCAGGTAAATGTTTAGCAGGATATTCATATTAAATCAGCTGTCCCTGCCCCTTTTACCAGACTCAACAACAGATGAGTCAGAAGCAGCAGCCCGGTCTCCCCATAACTTTAACCCTCCCCGTCCCAGTGAAGAAGGTGAGCAACACATGCCAGTTAGCATCACTGTAGGGAGTCTGTGGGAATTTCTCTCTCTCTTGCTCTTTTTTACCATTACAAAAAAGAAAACGAAATAATTTTTAATGACAGAAATTCAAACAAATTATTTTTCCACATAATGATTATTATGAAACAAAAACAGCCTACAACTGCCTGGACATTTGGAAACATTAAGTAGTCTAACTCAGCCTGTATTAAAGTTACAGGCAATATTAAAATAATCCAGTTAGATGCTTTCATTTAGATTGAATTATGGCCGTTAAATGACATCTATAGATACAGACTTTATTAATCCCTCATGAAGGGCAATTCATTTGAGCAGCTTGCACACACACACACACACACACACACACACACACAAAAAAAAACAAAAATGTGTATGTAATGTATGTAATCTAGTGGTAGTGATACAGAACTGTAGGTAATTTGGGTCAATGTAAATCTGTAGGATTTACATTGACCCAAATTGGTCGTTCATTTGTTGGTATCAAAAATCTGCTGTTTTTATTATTTTGAGATGATCTTAATTTATTTTGATTGAAAAGTTAATGTATATTTACAGTAAGTTGTTTTTTAAGTCTTTCATTAATGTTGAGAGAATTTTCCATTTTGGGAATTTACAATAAAAATGACATTTAAACTGTAAAAGATGGCCCTTAGGACATTTTTTATGGCAGTTTTTAATCTTGCATCAAATAGTGAATTGCATACTGTATGCAGACTGTTGCATGTACAACTCACTAGCAGTAAATATTGTACTGGTAGTTTTGAACTACAAGAAGCAAGACAGTTGCAAGCCTTCAAAGTTAGAGTTATGTAAAGCTTTTAATGAGTCAGTTAGGTCCTAGAGATGTGGTGACAACAGCTGCGCAGGCGGGGCCCAATGTGATTTGTTTTCATGGGGCCCAAAATTCCTGGCGGCGCCCCTGGACTCATGCAACCTCAGCAACAAAGCCACAGGCAGTAAAAGCTGGACCTCGACTTCTCACATCCCCCTCAGAATGAACTATAAAAACTGAGCCTATCCATTACCAGAGGGCTGGAAGTAAATGTATGTAAATATGATAAGAAGTGGACTCATTATGTATCTTTATAACTGAATATTTCTACTTAACTTTGCTTACATATGTAATCAAGTTTACTCATACAAGCCTTAATCTTTTTTTAATAAAGTCTCTTTATTTTAAAAACAGAAAACATTGATTATATTGACATATGGCAGTAAGGAAATATCAATTAGATATTTAGAAAAACATTTTTTGTACACGTTACCTGTACTACAGATATGACTACATATTGGCTGTTTCCACGTAGCGTAACAGGGATTGTATGAGTCCAACTCAAATCAGAGCCTCTTATAAAAAGAAAATTTAGATAGTTAACAGAAAATGGGTGACTGCATGAGATACATGTTCCCCAAAGCAATATAATTCATCTGTATTCTTGAATCAACCACAGAATTATAGACGGAATATCAATGAAAATATAACCATATAGTTAAGTCCAGTTGACACTCTTGTTAGTGGCCTTACTGCCAAGTGTGTCCAGTTTTCCCAGTAATCTCAATCTGAATAATGAGGCTGGTTGAATCAGGTCTGGGGAAAAAAGGGTTCGTGTTGTCCTGCTGCTCTCTTGCACACACATCTTTTTCATCTTAATTAGACCATGTCAGTGTTGATGTACAGCATATGCAAGGAGAATGGTGGGTGGCGGCCCACAATTTGCCCTGAAAGCACTCTATACTGTGCTGCTCAGCAGAGCTGTCCTAGCTAAATTGGTTCCCTTACTGGACAGCGTAATAACCCACTAATGGATACCTAAAGATTTGCTGAGTGCACAGTTGAGAAAGAAAGAATGAGAATGGCAGCAAGAGAGAGCCCTTCACCATCTGCTGTTTGTATTGCGAGAAACACAAGCTTGGTAAGTCATTTAATCTTGTGCCCAGATTTATTTTACAATATTCTAGCCATTGATTCTCTTTTTCCTTCACCTTCATGAGATCAATTACATCTTCAAACAGGATATTGATTTTGCATTTGTCTTTTTTTTAGAAAAGCAAATGTCTTTAAACAAACAACGCTCTCCTGGAGTTCTTGCAACCAGCAGAACCTCCCAACACAGTCAGATTTTCACTGAAGTTACCCTGCAATACACTCCTAGATTTAGAATATGAGTTTTTCATCTTGTCACTCTTTGCCGTGTGTGTTCATGCTTTGTAGGGCATGCTGATGTTTCAGTAAAGTGCATCCTGGGAGATGGGTTTGTTTTGCTTTCCATCTGCTAACCTTCCCAACTGCATTCTACGGGCGCATGTTGATGCATCTGCGCGATCACGAAGAGCATCGAGGGTGTCATTAGGGCTGTGTGTTGTAAAACGGTGCGCACTCGGCTGTGCTGTTGTGCCCTTGTAAATCTGATTATCAGACACCCCTGTCCTCTCATGGGAGCGCAGGGCACTGCTGACAGCACAGGTCATACAGAACATGTGCGTACATGCTTGTGAGGGCTTTGTGAGGAGGTGATAAGGATTTAAAGTGGTTTCATATCTTGTTTTAATAACGAACACCAGCTGAAGAAGTCTCTTAGCTGTAACAGCTCCACTTAATGTGAAAGCTGATGAATGTAATGGCTGATCTTGAACCACAGGATCATTACTTGACTCCAAGCATGATTCTATTGAAGTTGATTGTATGGATGTCAGCATATACCATTGTCCTTTTTGCTTTCACTCTCACGCAAACTGGACAGAATTTGTCTTTCAAACAAAAAAAGTAATCGGCTAAGCACTCAGCTGGCTCTTTGCATGCTGCTGATCAACAATCTGGCTTAAGTTTTCCACAAGCATCTGTCTCACTACACTTTTAGACAAAAACAGCCTTTTATCACGGCTCAGAAAAGTAAAACTTCTGTCTTTGGTCTCTCAAGGTTTAACTTTCAAATACTAACTGTATGAATGAGACATGGACAAGATATTTCATGAGTGAAGCTTGTTTAAAACTGATTTCAAGTGCAAAGATCGGTGATGAACCTCCAAATGTTCTTGCCTGTCCTCAAATCTTGAAAAGTATAGTGCTCATTATGAGGCAGGCAAAAGGTTGAAGGAACAGTTTGACATTTAAGGAGACTTGGATGAGGAGATTATACCCTCATGTCTGTCCATTCAATACGAAGTTACACACAGAAGCCAGTTAGCTCACATAGGTCAAACACTATCTTTCTATTAAACAGGCATAATAGTGGTTGTCACTGTTTTAGGTATAGAATGCTCCAGGAATGACACTCTTCTGTAGGTCGACGCGGAAGTTAGCATCGCCCTGGTTCCCTTGTCAAAAATTCAATGGGATTTTTTTCAATGGATTTTGGATTATTGCAGAAAATAAGCTCTGTGGCAAACAAATGTTTATGATACGTACATGTTTTGTTCAGCAAGATAATCTTCTCAAATGAACACCACTTTTATGATTTTGAACCCCAGATGCACTTGCCAAAAGCTAACGTTACAAACGAACCACACCGCAGTCACATGACTTTACATCCCTACCAGAAGGGAACGTGACGGTGTTCTGTTGTGTCATTTAACCACTTATTAGCAACCGCCTTTTTAAGACAAATAAAAGGGGGGTATTTACTGACATGTTTTATGTCGTAGACCAAATTGTGAAAATCTCTTAACCTTGTGTTACCACAGACCTTATTTCAGGAATTTAACCAAAAAGCAATTAAAAAAACCATTGATTTCAAGACCGAGGAGGCAGGAGTACAAAAATTCCTCATTTCTGGGTTTTAGGAATCATTCCTGGAACACCCTTATACGTTAGACAGCTCCTGCTTCAACAACTAGCATGTTTAGAATGAATGTTATCCGCTATTAAATGGCCATGTTTGTTATGCAGGGACGTGTATTGGCTGACTTTGCTACTGGGAGGTGGAGGAGATGGTGGATGGCATGGTAGGTGCAGACCACTGCAGACCAACAAACAACATCAGTTGTTCATGCAAGACACTGAGGCATTCCCAGGGTTTCTGACATAGGTGTTTTTCTTAGTGACTTGTTGCTTAGTTTCCTGTCGCTATTCTGTCCCCAAAAATGGGTGTTGTAGCCAATACATGATCTTTTCCAAACCATTACCAATGGATTTTTGCGCCTAAACATAACCACGTTAGCCACAGCTATGTTGAAACATAAGGAAACGTAAAACTTTGCCAATGGCCATTTAAAAACTGATAACAGCATTCTGATCATACTAGTCTGTGTAGAAGGAGGCCTTTAATATAACCATAATCTTATGACCACAATACCTATTCAATATGATGGGTGGTTAGCTCAGCTTTGCAGAAAAGTAAAATCTGCTCATTACCATCTCCAAAACAAGAAGTTATGTGCTCAGCCACAAAATAACCCAGCACACAACCCTCTTATTTTTTAGCTTTTGTACGGATAAAACAAACAAGACACAACATGCTCAGTGAGCTTTAGAGGTGCTGTAGGAGGATTTGTTTGCAGTTTCCCCCAGTTTCCAGTCTTTAGGCTGAGGTTGGCTGCAGCTTTATATTTAGTGTAGTGTAGTGCACAGCCTTTTTTTTTTTAATTTAAACTTACAAGATCAGGCCTGAGAAACATATCTCTCTTACAGAACATCTAAATATTTGCTAATTGGGCTTGCACTCTTTATGTAACAGTTACTGAGAGCGTGGCATACATCCCAGAGCGTGTTGTAAATTAGCTGGAATTCATAGGCCTGCTGCACTTAAAGCAAATTACTTGTCTACTTCCTCACTGGTGTTCATAAGGCCATGCGAGACAAGAGTCAATTAAGGCAAGAGAAAAATCATAAAAAGGGCTCCAGCTCAGTTTGGTTTACTTTGACACAGAAACTTTATGAACTCTGCTGACACTTCAGACTTGTTCACTATTTCTGGAAGTCAGCAGCCGTACATTTGTCTTTCTAATGTATCATAATAAGGCTGCTGAGCAGAGTGATTGTCTGACATTTTAAAAGTCACAATTGTAGCTCTTCAGTGTCAACATGTGGTAGTTTGTTAGTTGGACAGATAATCATTAACAAAATAAATAACTAAAATAACTTATGCTTCAGACTAGAAGTCTGAGATTACCCGACAGAAGAGTGTTTGCCAAAAAAAAAAAGCCTCTGAAGATGCTTCCAAGTTTTAAAATCATTAAGACAATGATGAAAAAACAGATGATTAATATAACTTTCTTAACAATTCTAATTGATCTCTATCAATTATTGCTCAGAGTGAGTCTCTTCAAGTGAGGCCTTGTGAAACAAAGTAATCCAAAACTTTAAATTCTCTATCAGAAAGTGGCAATCAGATGTTTCAGTTAATACAAATGCATTCTGTGACGCTCAATGCATTTAGACTTACCTCAAAAAAGGTGGTCCGACTCATGGCGGTGGGTTCTTATTATATCCTCTGTGTGCAGGGTGAAAAAAATGACCTCAAACATCAGCATAAGCAAACACAACACACACACACTCATTCCTCACACACACACAGACGTAGTTCCTCTCCTTTCGAGGACAATCCCTGGACTGACCCTTTATTCTTCCCAGCCTCCTTTTCTCCCTCCCTCTCTCTCTCATACACACTCTTTCTCTCTCTCTTCTCTGAGATAGTGCTGGGACACTGAATCACTAGAGGCACTCCAGAAACCCTGCACATGCTCTCCCCCCTGCTTTTCTCTCCTGCTGCTTCCTCCTGCTTTCTCCTCTATCTCTCCTTTTTTCTTTTTGTATCTTTGGAGAACTTGGCACTTGGAGTCCAAATAGGCTCAAGTTAGCAGTTACCTGAGATAGAGGCAGCTGGAAAGTGCAAGAATGTAGGAGAATACCAAGGAGGATAAAACACACAGATGACAGAAAGAAATCTCCAGGAACACTACCCACCAAACAAGTGCATTAACACACGTTAAGCAAAAGGTTTCATATTTAAATCAACTTTAAAATCATCTAACAAATATGTTAATGTAAATGCCATGCTAACAATGTATTCTTGAACCATGAACCTTCTCAGCTGCAGTGCTCCGTTGTGTCAGCAGAAGATGAGCCTACAAGGGTTGGACCAGGCACCAAAATATCCCACACAAGCGGAGGGGGATGTTATGGAGGTCAAAATGTACTCCGCATATCTCAAAGTGAAATGTATAGTTTGTTTTGGCATGCTTGAAGTTAAAGTTGCAGTATACAGTTTGTGAAAGAAGGTAAACTGCACTGTAAATGTCAGGGACATCAATTTTCTTATAACAAGACTGAGCGACTGAAGTAGTATGTGGTATTCATGCGAAGGTGTTCTGGAAATCTGATGATAACCAACCACTTCACAACAGATGGCTTAAATTTTACTTCACACAGATTAAAATGAACTAGTTCACATTTATACTTCACAATTTTGAAGTTTACAGTCCCAGAAAATGAGCTAGCTTACTCTCATTTCTTCCCTTTCCCCAGATACTTCCCAAGACTTGTCAGATGCTTTAACTCGATGTGTCATTTCAAGTTTGTTGCCAATGCAACTGGCTTTCAGACATGTTTTCTCCAACACACTCTCACTCCAACGTCGTCACATATCGACGTCTGATCATGGCCTTTGCACGTCCAGATACAACTTGCAAGGTACCCTGGATGTGTTGGTTGTTGACGTTCTTGGACGCCATGTCAAGTTCTTCCTGTTACATGCATTGTCTTTTTCAAAGATACACTTCCGTTTTCACGGAAATTCACTTACAGTCTCTTTTAAAATAAACACACTACATTAATACAACACCACAAATTGATGCTTTTTTCTTTCGACAACAAACGCACATGGTTACGTTTTGCCAACACACGCACATGGTTGGGTTTAGGAAAAAAGAACAGGGGTTTGCTTTACAATCTTATGGGAAGTGAACACCTCAGTCCCGCTTGAAAGTCGGTGGTTGTTGGACCCATCCACCCTGCCCGTCTACCATACTCAGACTTTCTCTGCCTTAATTTTCGTTCTTGTGCCACCACATTTCCCACCGAGCACTGCCAGGTGCCACTACTCTATTATGGCAACCGGCCATGTATCATGCCGACGTGAAAGGACAACTTTGTCACTGCCAAAGCGTCGGATTTGGACGACTTTGGAGTGAGACCAGGTTGGTTTTCAAACAAAGCAGGCACAATATTATAGATATTTATATTAACTGGAGTCAGCAGTACTGGTAGATGTGTTGTCTGAATTGCTACTTGTGCTAGCCCATCCAGTATTTACTCCAAGGGTGTCAGATACTGCCTCTTTCATACCCCTTGGTGTGTGATATTGACCCCAAAGGCACCTTTTGGCATCATTATGAGATGCATTGGGCTTTCAATTAACCACCAGTGTAAATCCATTTGCAGCAAAGGTTAACACTGAGAGCAACTGACGAAGCATAAAGAGAGAGAAAGTCTGTGTAGAGGAGAGGTGGATAGGTCAAACAAAACTGGACTTTTATCCATGAGACCACTGATTATGTCAAGTGTGAAACTAAAAGCCGATGCTATTTTAATGTTACATTAAGCATTTTAAGTAGGGGTTGCACAGTGATGTCACTGATGTGATGTATTTACATACACAATGTGTTACAAACATACTTATTTTACTTATAATCTTTTTTTATACACCTGACTAAGCTGTTTTGTTTCCTAAACAGAACTGCTATCGTTTAACATTAATTATGTGTTATGCAAAGTGTTTCAGTTGTGCGTTGTATAGATACACCTAATGCTGCCCTGTGCTCACTATAGAAGACTATGCAAGGAGACGGTGGGTGGTTATGTAAAGGAGAAGGTTCGGTCCAGATTTAGGCAGGGAGGAACACATATTGACAGGGAGACAGTTGATGGCACAACACCTGCATGCCGAGTGCTGTAAATCCAAAGGTGCCATAAAACATAGTGCGTCAGCATCTTTTCACTGTTGCGAGAGTGAACTCCTCTCAGGTTCACGTTCATTAGTTGCAAACAGATACAGTCAGTTCACTGTTCTCCAAAAACATGAGCACATTGAATGAAGAAGCTCTGTTGGCGCGTTCATGCACAACACTAAGCTGACCATTAGAGTTTAATAATCCCGTCAGCAGGTCCCCAAAAACCTTCTAACTCACCCTCTGGAGGATTATGAATATCCACTCCGGATTTGATGGAAATTTGCCAAGTATTTGAAATACATTTTCATGGACCAAATTGCCATGCACCCTATAACAGTGCTTCAGTACTCAATTGCTCCTTAAATGTTTTTCTGGGAACCAGGTGTTTTATTTTTAGCACATCCTCACACTGTACTTGGAGACTGTTGTGTTTATGTTTTCCTCTAAACTGTCTTTGTATGAGAGCAGTGGGGAAAAGCCTGCCGGTGTTTATGCAAATCGAGGCAAATTACATCACAAACTTTCTCATTCCACCATTGTCCCTCTGTGACATTCCTACTGTATTCTCATGTGGAGAGCGTTTCACCTCGAGAGCAAGCAATTATTGATAGATTGTGCAGGTCTTGCTTTTTAGCAGGTTTTACAGTATAATGAATGCTGCAGCAGTAAGTGGTTTGTATCCAGCAGCTTATTATACTTGCAACTTGAAGCAATAAATATGCCTATTACGTTTTTTTTTTTTGTACTGAATAAAAGAGGAGGTGAAAACTGTAGCCTGCAATTGTGCTTTGGATGGTTACACAAGTGATGGGTCTTCAATGTGAAATCCAAACGTAGAGGATATTGTATATCTTCAGTCTTTTATATCTGCATTCCAGTGTGTTTAACTTTGCTGGAACTTACTTTAAGTCAGCCAAAAAGGCTAATCATATGCAGCGTGGCATTAAAACTGTTGTTACAGTGAAACATCTGAGTGTCTGTTCTAAAGTTTGTGTACACACGGCTAGAACAAGGCCGAACCTGCTTTGACAGAATATTCAGGGTCGAAAGGCTTTGTATTAGATTCATTTAGACCTGCGATATGAGCAAACACAAACTGAATTATGAATGATTGAAGGTGTTTTGTCTCAGAGACAAAGTGTCATTTCTCCCTGTCATACTCAGCCTTGGTGAGAAATGTCTCCAAGTTGCATTTTAGTTTTCTTTTAGCCTGTTTTGCCCTCTAGTCTCACATGTGCTTGCTCAGCTGGATTTCTCTCCACTTGTCCCCTTCAAGAAATAGATTCAGACAATGAAAATCAAGTTGAGCATGTATTCACTCTGTTGTTGTGCTGCCTGAGGGGATTCAATTTGTGGAGAAAGAGTAGATAGAGAAATGGACCAGACCCCAAAGGCCTCCGGCAACTGTAAACCAGGCAGAATTCGGTGAAGAATGAGATGGAGAGACGGACTTGAGATTGGTGAATGTAAACATCTGTTATTCAAAATGTCAGGATACAGATGGAGGATTCTTTGAATACAACATATTTATGTGAGAGAAATGACGGTTAAACATGCAGTCATTTTAATCTCCCCGTGCAGCCTCATCTAAAAATGCCACACTAACAGGCAGCAGACTATGCATTTTCAAACAGCCAAAAATATCTTTCTGTGGACTCAGTGTGAAATGAATGTATAATATGATTCAGGAGAGGTTGTAAATTAGAGATTTTAACGTTTTAAAATAAGACCTCTATGATAGCAGGTAATTGGTACACCTTGAGGAGGTCAAACGACACATTTTCTTCTACTTAAAGGAGCAGATTATGCTCATTACAGGTTCACACTTGTATTTTGGGTTTCTACTAGAACATGTTTACATGCTTTAATGCTCAAAAAATACTTCATTTTCCTCATTCTGTTCATGCAGGAACACATGCCTCTGAGAAGCTTTGTTTTAGTGCCTGTCTCTTTAAGTTATCCATTCATCCATCCATTTTCAACTGCCTATCCGAAGCTGGGTCGCGTTGGCAGCAGGCCGAGCAAAGTATTCCAGCCGTCCCTCACCCCAGCAATGCTTTCCAGCTACTCGTGGGTGACCCTGAGGTGTTCCCAGACCAGACAAGATATGTAGTCCCTCCAACGTGTTCTGGGTCTACGCCGGGGCCTCCTACCAGTTGAACAAGCCCAGATCCGGAGGCGCCTAGGAGCTCCATCCGGATCAGATGCTCCAAACCACCTCAACGGACCCCTTTCGACACAAAGGAGCAACGTCTCCGAGCTCCATCCGGATGTCCGAGCTCCTCACCCTATCTCTAAGGCTGAGCCCAGCCACCCTTCGGACAAAAACTCATTTCAGCTACTTGTATCCACGACCTTATTCTTTCGTCATTAGCCAGGGCTCATGACCATAGGTGAGGGTGGGGGCGTAGATAGACCAGTAAATCAAAATCTATGATTTGATTTAGTCTTTAAGCCCCTCTCTCAAAAAAGCCCAGTCTGCTGTGATTGGTCAGATCTTCCAGAGAATAGCAACGCCTTCTACTGTGAAAATTCACCAATAAAAGCTTCTAAACACATCTGGACATGTCACAGCAAGACTCTAATCCAAAATCGGGGAGAAATTTACAACACTGGCAACCAAGATCACATGTTTTCCTGAAGAAAAGATGTTTTTTCATACATTTATCTTT